GGTGAAAATATGTGACTTTGCTTGAAATTTTACAAACAGTTGGCTTTAAACCAAATTATAAAAACAATGCATGTTGTTGAAGTTTATAAAGTGAGGTTTATTATATCTTTTCCAGAGCCTCTAGTTCTGGAACCAAGCAATTGAAAATGAAGAGAATTGTCGAAAACTGCAATATTAATTTTTACCATTCATAATTCCCTAATTTTTCGATATTCTAAAGAAATCAGTTATCGTAGTAATTTTTTTTTGGTTTCTTAAGTTTTGGAATAAATCCAAAATCGATGAAATAAATGGATAGCATTGAAAACGAGATAAATTTTGGGCTGGGATGAAAATTTTTTAATACGAATTTAATTCAATTTTAATGTCTGTTAGATTTTCAGAATTTGAAAGTGATGTATTTTTTGGGTAATGGGAACCCAAAAAGGAATACTGCTTAAAATTCCCAAAATTTTTTAGGACTTACAGAGGAAATTATTTTGTACTACCAAAATCTTGAGTAAAAAATGTACACTTGAAGACACATAAAATTTGAAATAAACCAGGGCCTGGAATCTTGTTCTATGAAAAAATAAAATAAAAAAATTTTCTTTATAAAATTTTTCATTTGTCATATCTTTATTTTATAAAAGTTTTCATTTCATATTTTCATAGAAAAAGAATCCAGCCCCAGGTGCCAAATTTTATGATTCGAAATCGACAAAATTTCGATCTAAATCAATTTCAATGTGATTTTTTTTGCTTAATTTAATTTAACATTTTACTAGAAACGACTAATTATCAAACGTTAGATTTGAACACCAGTCGTTTCTAGCCAAATTTTCAATATCATAATTTAATTTTTTTATCAATCTAGAATGAACATGCAGAAATTTCATTCCAATCCAATTTTTTTTTTTGAAATCCAAGTCAAGAATTTCTGGTGAGTTGTTATCTACACCTCTTTTTTATGGAAAACCTTTGTAAAAAACTCAAAACAAAAATTAATTAAATATTTATCCAATAATTCTAAATTTCCTCAACCAAGTGGTCTGTCTTTCACTTTTTGTAACTCCTCTATTTATCTACATTTTGTGGTGGCGAAGTTAAAAAACCATTTTCATTATCCCCAGACATTTTGGAGTCTTTTGGAGCAGTTTTTAAATATTTGTTTTTTTTTTTTTTTTCAAAATAATAAATTCCATTTTGATTTATTTGATATATTTTTGTTTTGTAATTTGTTTTTTTTTGCATATTTTATTTGTTTTTTGTTTTATTTGTTTAAAATTAAACTTAGTGGCTAGAAAAATATATGTATATGTATAGGTGTAATTATAAGATATATATAGTTGTGGTAATTTAATAGTTTACAAACTAATCAATAAAAATCTAATAGATACAACGAAAAAAGGAAAGTCTTATTTATACGAGAAAAAAAAAAAAAACAAAATTAAAAAAAATAAAAAAAAATGGTAAACAATTTTTGTTTTAAAAAAATAATGGTTTTCTATACAAGATGAGTCTTTGAAGAAAATCTTACAACAGATTTGTTTATTTCTTGTTTAGATTTTGGGTTCATTTTTGTTGTTGAGGCGAAAGGTAAGGTAACGCAGAAAGTTAATACAAAAAAGTGGTGGGTGGTTGGTTTGAAAAAAAAAAAATTGAAAGAAAAATAAAAAAATAAGAAATTAAATAAAGTATATTACAAGAAATAAAATTATATCATAAGAAAACATGAACGGTATATCAGTTTTGAATTTTGTTTTCATTTTGTGGGCATGTAAGATTTTTTCAAATCCAGTTCATCAATTTTTTTGTTTGGTTATTTTACTTTTAAAGCATATTTCAAATGAATATTTAGAATATTTACAGTTTGTTTGGAAAAAATAAAAATTTTAAAAAAATCATAATTTTTATTTGTTTTTTTTTTTTTTACAAAATATTATTATCCGAGTAGTTTTTTGAAATCATTTTAATTTTTGTTTTTTGTTTTTTTTTTGAAAAATGTGTCTTTCCAAGATCATTTTTTGTTTTGTTATTCTTACAGATTTCTGTTTTGTATCCTTTAATGCATTTTTGTTTTTGGATTTGCTTTCATTTTGTTATTAATTTTGCATTTTTTTTTTGTGTGTGGAAAGAGGGTTCAATGCAATGCAAATTATCACAATATATAGATTTTTGTTTTTTTATAATTTATTTATAATTTTTGTTTGTTTTTTATTGTTTTTTTGGGAGTTTTGGTTTTTAATATTTATAAAAAAAGAAAAAGTTTCAATAAATTTCAAATCATAAAAATTTACAATATTTGTTTTGGTTTTAGAATGCCAAAGTGGTAAAAAATGAGTTACAGAGAGTAGTGAAAAAAAATAAATTTAAAACTCTACTTTTTTAATAAAAGTATGCATTTTAAGGTTAGCTAAAATTTATATAATTTTTTTCTCCCATGAAGTTTGTAAAATAATATAACATTTTTGTTTATACAAAAAAAAGTAATAATTGGAAAAAGGAAATCTTAATAACTTACAAAAATTATACACAACTTGCTTATATATAAAAATTTTAATAAAAAAAATTAATCAATTTGTAATAATAATATTTAAAATATAGCCAATTTTTCTTTTCTTCTTTTTTTTAACAAAACAATTTTTCTTTCATGACATTATTTTTTGTTGTTGTTATAGTTGGGTTGGCATGACATTTTAACAAAACAAGAAATCATTTTTTTTTTTCAAAATTAAATAACATTTTTTTCAAATTGATGTCTGTGTGTGAGGGTTTCAAAATTTTCTTGTAATATCTTTTGAAATGTTTCTTAGAGAATTATTTCCAGCTGGAAACTAACTATCAACAATGAAATGTGGCTAAACATTATGTGATTGAGAGCATGGTGATAGATAGAGAGTGGGGGTGGTGAGAGAGAGATAGAAATAAAATATTAGGACTTAATGAGTCAGAGTTTTTCTGATTTTTTTTTTGGAGGGAGCTGAAATGAGAAATCTCTTTTCTTCATCTTTCATGTTTTGTTTCTTCTTTTTTGTGGTTGTTCTTGTTCTATATATTCATGTTTGTTTCCATATATGTTAATATGTATATATAATTTATATCACAATACAAACTTAAAACAGTTACGACGATGATGATGATGTTGCAGCTGGCGGCAACATTGAAAATGTTGCTGGCCAACAGCAACAAAACATCCAAACACCTACATAAGGGGATGCGACTATGTGCGCGCAACATGCCCGCTACTTTTTTCATTTAATCTTCAATCAAGCAATTTAGCAGCAGCATGTTTTTTGTGTTTCTTTTGTTAGGTAGCTTTTTTGGGTGAGCAGCAGCTCTACGAGTTGCCAATTTAAAAAAAAAAAAAATCAAATTCTTAACAATTCTAACACAAAACAAACAAATTGCCACAAATAGGGGGGATGGATGAACGTTTCAGGAAAAAGTCGAACAAAATCCAGCCAGCTGGACAAAACAAACATTGTGAATAAATAATAGAAAAATTAAAAATAATGGCATGGATTTTGTTTCACGGGATTTTTTTCACAAAGATCACAAAATAACAAGGGATTTTCTTATTTTAAAGTAAAATAATTTAATTTTTTTGGAGAAAATATCCCACACATGGGGGATTATCTTCTTGAGGCCTCTATACTATAAAAAAAATAATTTTTTGTGGAACTACAAAATTCTTAAAAAATTACTTTTCTTTAAATAATTCAATAAATAATTATTTTCTTTTTCAATTAATTAACAATAATTTAAAACATATTTTTTTAAACATTATTTTTTGGTGAATTTTTTAAATTTATATTTTTAATAATTTTTGGATTTTTTTTAAAATGATTCTTTTTAAAATTTCTTTTTGAATATTTTTTTAAATATATTTAAAAATTAATTTTTAAATATTTTTCTTCCAGAATTAATTTAAGAAATATTTAAAAAAAATTTAGTTACAATAATTTAAAACATATTTTTTAAACTTATTTTTTGTTGGTGAATTTTTAAATTTAAATTTTAACAATGTTTTAAATTTTTTTTCAGAAAAAGTTTAATATTTTTTATAATTGCTTTTTAAATACTTTTTTTTTTTCAAGAAAATTCTCCAAAAAATCATGATTTAAAAACATTATTTTTGTTTTTAAATTTCAATCATTTAAACAAATATTTAAATAAGATTTTGGTGTTTTTTAATTTTTTTTAAATTACATTAATTACTTCAAATTATTTTTATGACTTCTTTTTAAATATTTTTTAGAAATCATGTTTCTAATATTTTAAAAATTACTTTTTAAATAAATTTATTAATTTTTGCAATTTCTCTCAAATATTTTTTAAATTTACATTTAAACAATTTTTAATTTATTAATTTTTCAACATAACATAACCAAAAAAAATATTTTTTTAATATTTAAAAATATTTATTTAATATTTAAATATTTTTTTTATTTAAATATTTAAAAATGTATTTTCAAATCTTTAAAAAAATAATATTACAAAAAATATGTTTTAAATGTTGTTTTTTAGTTAAATGATTTTTTTTTAAATTATGAAAATATTTTTTAAACTAAAATATATAAATTTTTAATTTAAAAAATATGTGTTTCTAAATTAAAAAAAAATAATTAAAAAATTATATTTTTTTTATTTAAAACAATATTTTTTTTAATTTAAAAAATATCTATTTTTTATTTAAAAAAAGTATATATTTTTTTAATTTAAAACAAAAATGTTTTTTTTTAATTTAAAAAAATATTTTTTAAATTATTTTCTTTTAATTAGAAACATACATAATTTTTGAATTAAAAAAACATATTTTTTAAATTAAAAACATATATTTTTTAAAATAAAAAATATATATTTTTTTAAATTAACTAAATTAAAAAAATATATATATTTTGCAAATTAAAAAAAATATATTTTTTAAATAATTTTTTTTTTAATTATATATAATAAATTTTATATTAAAAAAGATTATTTTTTAAATTATTTTTTTTTGTAATTTAAGAAAAATATTTTTTTAATTAAAAAAATCACAGGAAAAGTTAACAATTTCTAATTTTTGTAGGGCCTAGAGTTCAGTTCCTCCATGTTTTTTTTAATTATTTTACTTTTTCCAAAGAAAAACCCTTTCTTGTTCATCCTTTTCCCCGTTGGCAATTTGTTGCTATTCTGGCCTAGCTTTGCTTTACCATCTGTGTTTGTTTACAAACTTTTGTGTTGCATTTTTGTTGTTTGTTTGTTAAGCAAAAATTTGGATTTCAAATTTTTCTTCTTCTTCTTATTGTAACACACAACCTTACAAAATTTTGTTGCTGTTGTAGTTGTTTTCTGTGTTCTTTTGGGCAAAGAGAGAGAGAAAAAAAACATAACTTAAACTTATATTTAAGACATTGGTCCATTGGCTGCCTGTTGCTGCTGTTGTTGCAATAATGCCGCTGCATCATCATTTTGTTGCTGGCTGCTGCTAGTATTTTGATGTTGTTGCTGCTGCTGTTGTTCTACATTGGCAATATTTTCTGTTTGTGTTGTTGTGGGCGTGGCTGTGCCACTGCCAGTATTTGCTGCATTTATGACAGCAATCTGTTGTTGTTGTTGCTGCTGTTGATTGCCCAAAGCATTGGTGTTGGCCACCACGGCTATAGCATTGGCCGCTGCCACTGTTGCTGCCGGTGGTGTTGGTGTTGGTGTTGGCGCTGCCGTAATCATGTTGTTGGGCGTTGCCGTCCCAGTTATCTGCATTTGCAGTTGTTGCAGCGTCTCCTGTGACATATTCGCCTTCAGGATGGTATTCTCAACCTCCAATTGATTGATCTTGTCCATAAGTTCGGAGATCTTTTCTTTGAGTACCTCGACCTCCTCACGAACGGCGATCATCAAATGGGATTTGACGAGATCCTGGAAAGAAAAGGGAAAATATTTTATTAGCTTTTTTTTTATAAAAAATAAATTTAGAAAAAAAAAATACATAAAAATAATTGTTATTTTAAATTATTGGAATAAAAAATAAATAAAAAGAAGATAAAAATACAGAGTGACCGTGGCATCAGAATAAATATAGCGAAAATATTCTGGAGGATGTATAAAAGCCTTGGGCACGCAAACATTTTGACCGCAGACCTTGGTCATTGCAACAGGACTTAGCGCCATGGCACTCAGCACGCCACCGTCACCCAAGAATGGTTAAAAAATGAGGTTCCTTGCTTCATTTCCAGCGCATAATTTCTACCAAAACCTCCGTATACCAATCCGTTGGACTATTGCGTCTGGAGTATTTTGGAAGGCAAGCTTGACACTAAAAAATACCAAAGTGTCGATCACCTCAAGCAAGCGCTTCGCCGGGAATAGACCAAAATACCGCAGAGCAACATTCGGCCAGCGTGTGACGATTTCATTGGCCGTTTGATGGCCATAATTCGTGTCAAAACTGACGAATTCGAACAAATCTGAACTTATTCTGAAATTTGAAGCTATTTCCGACATTTTTTGCTTTTATTCAATAAAATTTAAAAAAAAAAGTAAAAATTATGGCGTTTGACTTCTTTTTCAAATAATTTCAAATTAAAATTGGGTTATTGTTAAATTTAAATTATTTTTTTCTTCTTCTGCTTTCCTAATGACCTTCTTATCCTTGGAAAATCCCATACTTCTTTTTAAAACTTAGTGTTGAGCATTTCATTCATTAAAAAAAAGGGTAAAAAGTAAAAACTGGTGTTTGACTTTGTTTTATTTTTAATTTTTTTGGCAAATAATTTCAAATTAAAATTTTCTTATCCTTAAATTTAAATTTTTTTGCTTTCCTAATGACCTTGTTATCCTTGGAAAATCCCATACTTCTTTTCAAAACTTTTTCGTTGAGCCATTTATTATTTTTCCAAGAAATATTTTTCCCTAACTTTTTCTTCTCTCCACTTCAAAATTTTCTTCTTTTGCCATAGTGCCCCCTTCCTAAAGGTTTTCGAAATTCTTTTCTTAACCATGATTTCATTTCATTGGCCATTAATTCCAAAAAAAAAGGAAAAAAAGTTGTTGGCAGGAAAACAAAGCCATGAAATAAAATGACCTAACATGAGTCAGCAAGAAAAACCTAGGAGGGTCGGGGGGTCTTCTTTGGAAAACTCTTCCGACAATATTTATTTTGAGGTGTTATTTTCAGTTTGGGTTTCTTCGTCTTCACTTGGCAACAAAAGAAAATCAAACTAAAAATACGTTATTAAGGTTATGGCATTTTGGCTTTAAATTATGACGATGATGATGTTGATGGATTTTAGGGTATTGATTTGTAATGGTGGAAAAATCCAGCCATCACTTTCGGTGGTAAATTTTGCCAAAGGCAATATTTGGGTATTTTTGTTTTTCAATACTAAAAAAATTAAAAAAAAAATATTGATGATGTTCGCTAAAAAACTGAAAGTAATAAAACCCTAACATGTAAACACTGAAATATAATGCCTAACTCCCCATACCATGTCTGCTGTTTTTTCATGGGTGATTCATTCATTCATTCCAAAACTGGGCTAATAGCAGCTGAAATACTAAACCCAAAAGCCTGAGAGTGGAAGAGAGAGTGAGAGAGAAAGAGACAGGGTGAAAAACATTGCGTGCAAATTTTGATGGCATTTTTTTGCCATGGGTTTATATAATATTTATTGTGATAGTTGGGAAATGGCTGGAAAATTAAAAACGAACATTTGAAATGGGGGCTTTTCGTGGAAAGCAAAGCAAAGCTGAAAAAACATATCAAAACAAGTGGTCTTTAATTATTAAATAATTCTTGGTAATTCATGTGAAATGCCAGCGCACAAAAACAAAAAAAAAAAAAAGGAAAAACATGAATGAGAAAAAATAATAGACAAAAAAAATCTATGCATGCACATTTCATGAATGCAGTTTTCATGCCATTTTATATCAAAAAAAAAAAAATAAAATAAAAAAAAAAAAAAAAAATAAAAAAAATAAAAAAAAACAAAAAAATAAAAAAAAAATATTCAAAACACCCCCAGCAAATGTTAATGCCATAAACTTAGGGGAAAATGCATGCTCATTAAAAAGAAAAATTGTTGTGTTGTTGTTCTTCGTGGTTTTTGTTATAATTTTAAACTAATATATATTGCAAACTGCACTTTGTTTGGTTATACTTGCTGCTATTGACACAGGCGTACAACAAGAGAAATGACATTGAAAATATATTATAAAATCGCCATAGCCCCCCCACCACCACCACCAGAACTGGTAAAAGTATTTTCTAGAACTAACCATCATCACCACCACAAGCTACAATTTGCCATTATAAAAACGCTATTAAATACCTAGGAGGAAGAAATGAATACAAGCAGAAATGACCTTAGTGCAATGAAAGCCAATCGAATTGTTGCGTAGTATTTTTGCAAAATGTTGCATTACCCCTGTTGTCACATAAACCCCGAAGACGATGGGGCAACAATTAATTTGTCCTTGCTTAAGCATGCTTGAAAACAACAATGGATATTATCTAAATATTAGATAATAAAGAATATTCGACCTTTCCCAGCACATAATTCACAATGAGGTAACATTAGAATATGGCATTGTTGCAGAGGGGGCATGTGGCAACATGTTGCTGGGGAAATTTTGTATACAAGGCAATGTCAGAAAAATAGTTGGAATTTTTTTATTTTTCAATAGAAGTTAAAGTTTTTTATTTAATAACTTTGATTTTGTTTAAATATATATTTTTTGAATACTAATTATGTTACCCTTATGATTGTAGCAAAGATGCATTGCAACATGTTGCTGGGGAAATTTTATAGAAATAAAAAAAAAAAAAATGTTGGAATATTTTATTTTTCCTCGAAAGTTAAATTTTTATGATTGTGGCAAAATATGTTGCTTTGGAAAATTTATTGCAATGAAAGAAAAATTGTTGGATTTTTTCCACAGAAATTAATTTTCCTATTTGATAAGTTTAATTTTTTTTAATTTATATTTTTTGAATATGCATTATGTTACCATTTTTTTAAATATATTTTTGGCATTTTGTGGCCACGAAATATCATTAGATAGTTAATCAGACATCTTTCGAAAATATAGAATGGCTATTGAGATAATATTATTGGTTGTAAATGTTGCAGTTAGTATTCGCAACATGTTGCTGAGCACTTTTAAAATAAAAGTCTCAGAAGATTTTTTTTTGACTTTTTAGTTTTCCCTTAGATAAGATTAAAATCCTTTTCGGAATAACTAATTTCGTTTCAAAGAAGTTTGAGAGATTTATTGTCTAATAGCTGCATTGCAACATGTTGCTAAGAAAATAGGAAAGCAATGGAATGGAGTTTTTGTCAAATTATTTATGTTTGTAACCCCAAGATTTCTTAAGATAATAACTTAGACAATTTTCCACAATATTTAATGCTTATTAAGGTATTATTATGAGTTGATTTTATCGCAGTAAGAATTTGCAACATGTTGCTGAACAAATTTTGTATACAATGATATGGAAAACGAGTTTTGTAATTTATATTCAATTTTTCCTCAGATATCCCCCTTGGATAAGTTTAAAATCCTTTTCGAAATAATTAATTCCATTTCAGAGAAGTTTGAGAGATATTTTTGTCTATTAAATGCATTGCAACATGTTGCTAAACGTATAGGAAAAACAGAATGGAGGTTTTGCCAATTTTTTCTGTATGTCGACCCAAGATTTCTTTAGATAAACAATTTTCCACAATATCGAAAGCAGGTTGAGGGAACATTATGGATTGATATCATCGCAGTAAAAATTTGCAGCATGTTGCTGAACAAATTTAAAGCCATTGATAATTTTTTTAAATTCTCTTATTTTTTTCCAAAAATTTTACTTTTAGCTTAAGTAAGTATAAAATGCTTAATTTTATGTTAAAATCATTATCAATTTATCTGTATAAAATTCAAACAATCTATTTCAGATGATATTTTTGAGTGGAAAATTGTTGCATACCAATGGCAACATGTTGTTAAACCTATTTTCTACACACAAGAAAAATAAAATAAAAATTCTTAATTTTGAAAATCAACTGCTGAATTTTAATATTCGTCCGACTTGAGTTCAAAAACTGTCCATTTCATTCAAAAATTCTAAGTTGGCCATATATCTTAGAAATGAAAATGTTGCCAAAATATTAGCAACATGTTGTTCAACATATTCTCTGTTAAGGAAACAAAAATTTGGACTTTGATGATTTGACGGCAACTTTTTCTCCTTCTTTGGATCTTCTCTAACCTAAAAATTCTTTATTTAAATTATATTACGAAATTTTTTTCCCAATTTTGCCCTTTAACCCTATCTTTGCCTGATAAGGCGAGAAAAACATATTCGCTTCGAAATTTTAATATTACGGCCTTCGCCATGTTCATATCTTATCTATATAAAAAAATTGAGATAACACCATGACAGACCTGATATCTTATTTGTTTTTTTCTTGCATTATCTTATCTGGTAAATAGAAACAGATTCCAGTTCTTTTTTCGCGCTCTAGTAATAGTAAAAGACAAAGAGATACTTCTATGTGATCGATTACTAATAGTATTACGTCAAAATCTAAAAATAGCTATTGATGGGCATACCATAATATTTAAAAATCAATTAAAAATAAAATCACAGTGTAATTTATGATAAAAAATGATATATAATAATAAAATTTAATAACAATAAAAATAAAAATGAAAAATAATGATTCATTGCGGAATTAAAAAATCACTATCCACAATTAAAACGTTTTTATGGGAATTTTTTTTATGCTGAGAAAAAAAAATTCAATAAGATATGAGTTATGGAAAAATATCCCCTCATATCCAGTACTGCACAATTATGAGGGTTATTTGCCTTAGCGGCGGCCGCCAACGCCACCGCTTTTCAAGAAAACAAGCCAAGAACAACAAAG